ACACATACACACACATATATATTCAGCGACACACGTTTATCCAACATTTTTTATTATCATCATCATCTTCATTTTTGATTTCTTCTGACCATCTTCCATTAAAACATTTCCCTTTCCCCTAATTGCCTTTCATGTGAAAGACCCTCTGTTTAAAAAAAGTAGAAAATTATGAAAGATGCACATGGCTGCATGTAGTGTATACCTTGACCATGATTCAAGGGAAGCAAAATACAAGCTTTGTTTAATTGTCATGCTTATGCAATCCTGCTTAAAGCAACCTCTCATTTTCTGTCCTCTTTTCCTGCATAAAAACAAGCATGCATAACAAGTAAGGTGCTACAAACCTAGAAAATTAGAAACAAGGATTGTGGTTAATTTATAATGCTATTTTCTGGCTGTACTAAAAATTTTACAATGTAAAGATCTTTTTTAAGGTCAGATCATCGTCATCTTGAAAAACGCTGTTCTATCAGTAAGCATGAACCTACTATACCCCAAAAAACCACACCCATGTGATTTTACTTCCTATGTAGCTTGTGTTTTACCAAGCATCTGACCAAATGCACCTTTAGTGCTACAGGGATATTTCATCTAATGCTTATGATATTATTATGATATCAGTCTTGTTGAGATTGAAACTGAGAATCCTGCATGAATGGCAAAGAAAGGAGAAGGGTTTACTTGGTGCCTTTTCTGTTTCTTTTAACCTTTATGTAACTTTCCAACAAATCGGTGTATTATTCTCGCTGCTGTGAACAAATATTTCATATTACTGAAACAAATAAAAACTACTGATTTTGTTCTTAAGGCACGATCATTTCATAAGGTTAGATTTTCTTCAAATCAGTGAGATTGCTTATTATAGTCAAGCAGAAACTGCATGAGCACTACATCTATGCATTGGTTTCCACAGAAATATTACTAACTCTAAGAATTCTAATCTGTGGTCAGTGCATGCTACAGAGACACTGTTGCCTTGCTCTTATTCCCACTCATTCTGTCTCTGATTTACACATGCAGCAGGTCATTAATAAGAAACTGTATTCATTAGTTTTATGTCCCCATCACCATCTTCCATACAGTTCAGAAGAAGAGGCGTTATCTATTGGAAGTCCAACACTATCATGATCCCCTCTGTGCACTGACTGAATGCATAGATTGTTTAGAGCTTAACAAGATGCTATCACCACAGATCTACTGTATATTTCAATCCCTAGACAAACATACTATTTTTAATGGGGTCAGTGCATTCACTGAACTGACAGATTGTTTAGTCAATTCATTTACATGCATACATGAACCACCTATAAACTATTTATGAGCAAAAGAATTACTTAATTTACTCTCGATCAAATGCATTTTGATATAATTTCAACAAGTAGCCATTGCCAATTAAGCTACAGCAGCACTGTATCAAGGAGGTTAGGAACTGGCAAGCTTCTCAAGCCCTTCAAGGCTCCCCCCTCCCCAAAAAAATAAACTGCTAAAAATCTCACACAATTTTAGTGATCTCATTCCAAGTTCATGTGAAAATCTCTCAAAATCTTGGGAGATCTCATGTGATATTTCAGTGTTCTTCTGCAAGAACTGACAGAGTTTAAAAAATTAATTTAATTTCGGGGGAGGTTGTGGGTATCATTTTGGAGGCACAACAGATATCCTGACACTCGCACTCACCACATTACTGATTGCTGAGATAGGTCCACCTTACTATGCTGTCTGACAATGATTAAGTATCAGTGTTTGCTGAGGTAGCTGAGTATGAATGAAGTAACTTCCATTCTAAGAATTTTCTCACTCCTTGCATATTTCTTCTATTGTGGTTACTTGTATGATAAAATGATTTTGCACACCACATCTACTCTACATCTGGTAACCATGCTTGGTATGAAGACTGCTGAACTCAGCTGCTGAAACCGCATATTACATATTATTCTGGATTGTTTCATATCACTAGTTCAGCAGTTCTCTCTGTCTGTACACTTATATGTGCGTCACACATTTAAAGTATCAACTGGAAGGGATTTTAGTATTATTCATAGCAAATTATATATAGATCATGTGATAACTGTACACATGAAGGAGTTTTTGTCTTTGCTGTAACTGTACATGAAAGTGAAGCTGTAATCAGCTGCGACTTCCCTACCATAAGCATCCCACACTTCTACATAGGGAAAATAAATCCAATATACAACTTTCTGCTATAATTTGTTCACAAATTGCAATAAAATTATGTTTTATTTGCTTCTTTCGTAAGACACGGGCTCTGGTAATTGGATATAAAAAGCAGTGCCAAGTACTATAGCAATAAATTTACCATAAACTCTGATTCACCCATTCTAGTTTTCTTAAATTTAAAATAACCATTTTAAAAGAGAGAGGTAGATTATGACAACTTCCTCAACTTCTTGCTGTTGTTGTAAAAAAGGAAATCCATCCACAACAGCTCAACATTATACATAAATGAGTTAAAAGTACCATCTGTACAGTGGTACCTCGGGATACGAACTTAATCCGTTCCGTGACTCTGGGCGTATCCCG